ATAGATAGTGAGTGGGTTGAACATGATCCCATCATTCCAAAATAGAGAGACCTCTCAAACTTTTTAGATCGACTGAAACAAAACCTCTGAGACCAAGTCACATCTAACCACCTAGAACTTCGCGTAGTTGGTTGTGGATTTGATATAATATATGGGCTGTAAATAGATAATCCATCTGTCGACCTGACCCAAGTTAAAAATCATTTGAAACATTAATTATATCGGAGAGTTCTTTTATAATCAATCCTAAACTTGATGAAACCACCTTCCGGTCACCCATCGAATGTCATTAACACCAAACAGAAACGAAGACCATGCACAAAACGCATGTTGATCCACACCCAAACCTATCGGTAGTTCTGCAGATCCCGCGGATCCCGCAGATCTTGCGAATAGGGGGCGATATTCACACCTAAGGCACCAACATTCCCGCATGTTCCGAAATATCTGAAATATCAGTTTGGAGGCAAAAGGAGAGAAGAAGACACATATAATTGCATGAATAAATATACAAAATGGGCCGAAAAGTACAAAGATCATTTATCCAACTAATCTTCTTTCTCTGCATTCTCTTTTGCATTTTATACCTAAACCGCCCGCAATCAACCAAAGACAAACTCTTTGCCTGGACCAAAATTCGCTACAAAACAACCTCATCCATCATCCCGGAAGCCCGCGGAGTCTGCCCCGGTCTAGCAGGGACAACCAAACCAGCCCTGATAGTCTCACATGTCTCCACGGATGGGGACCCATCCTGGCTAGAATCCCTCCGCACCCAGTACCATGTATGCATGTACCAAGTGGACGCGCCAGCAGACAAAACCTCCAAACTACTCCAAGTCCCCGCAAACCGCGGACATGAAGCAATGGCCTACCTAACTTTCCTAATCGACAACTACGCGGACATCCCATCTGCCGGCGCCGTCTTCGTGCATGGCAGCCGCTGGGCTTGGCACAATGACATCCCAGACTACGATAACCTCGCGCTCCTACGCAGCCTGGACGTCCGCGCCGCGCTAAAACCGTCCGGGTATAGTAATCTGCGCTGCGACTGGAGCGCCGGAACGTGTCCTTCTTCTGTGCCAGCGCAGGGCAGTCTCGAGATGAGACTGTCAAGTGCCGTGTCACCGTGGAGTCCGCGCTCGGCATCAGATATAGCGCTACCAAAAGCGCTTGGCCATATCTTTGGCGGGGATGCTGATGCACGCGTCAAAGAGATTCGCAATGCTTTCCATCTTCAGCTCGGTCGGAATGATGCTGTGCGCGCGCAGTGTTGTGCGCAGTTTGTTGTTTCCCGTGAGCGGATCTGGCAGCATGGTCGGGATGAGTATATTGCGCTTCGGCAGTGGTTGCTCGATGGGAGTGATGATGGGGTTGCGCGGAATGTCCAGCGGGGGTCTAGGGCTGCGCCTGGTGATGACCTTGTGGCTGGTCGGATTGTTTCGTATCTTTGGCATATTCTTTTTGCGAACTATGGGGATAATGGGGGCATTGATCTTGACCAGTTGAATCGCGATTCTTGTCCTAGTGCTTCTGAGTGCTATTGTCGGTTGTATGGCAAGTGTGATTTGACGTGTCGGGGCCCGGGGAGCTGTAAAGGGCAGTATTCTGTGCCGAAAGATTACAAGCTCCCTGAAAATTGGGAGAAGACGCATTCATGATTCGCGATTTAGCTTATGGTTTTTTGAAACTTGTTTATATAATGAATCTGGAACATTTTGGGCATATAGATTGGGATAGATTGGGATGCATTGTGAGAAAAATAGGATATCTTGTCATTTAAAGTCTGGTTGATAGAGTTATGTACAAGTTGTTTAACCGAGATAATATTTACACGTTCCTCTAGAATCTGGCAAGGACTCGCTCTTGAGTGTCTGACAGGGCATACCGAGAGCTGTGCGTCTTGCTCACGACGGACTTGGCCTGCTCGGCAGTGAAGCCCTTGGCCTCTACAGCTGGGTTGTAGCCCAGACCGTTGATCTTGCCAACAACATCTGAAGGGACAGCGACAGCGACCTTGCCATCAGTACGCTTGTAGACGGTTACAACAACGGCACCACCTAGACCAAGGTTGTGTTGCAGTGCTGCGGAAGTACCGTCAATCAGGCGGTTGTTAGCCCATCCACGCAAGTGCCAGACCAACTCAGCACATTGGGCAATACCCGTAGCACCAAGGGGATGGCCCTTGGAGATGAGACCGCCAGATGGGTTGATAACCATCTTTCCACCGTAGGTGATATCGCCACGACGGACCATCTCATGAGCCTGACCGGGCTCACACAGCTCCAAGGCATCAATGGTGATCATCTCATTAGCCGAGAAGCAATCGTGTAGCTCGCAGACCTTAATATCCTTGACATTCACGCCGGCCTCGGCTGCGGCAGTACGGCACGCTTGGCGCGACATGCCGAAACCCATGAGGTCAATGGAGCTCTTGTTGTAGACTGTGTCGGTATCGGTGGCGAGGCACTGGCCGGCGATGAGAATGGCATGTTCCTTCAAGTGTGGTCGCGCGTCGAGGAAGTCCTGCGAAACAATAACAGCGGCGGCACCGCCATCCGAGGTTGGGCAACACTGCAGCTTGGTCAGAGGCTCGTGGATCATGGGTGCCTTCATGATCTGGTCGAGGGTGTATTCAGTTTGGAATTGCGAGTATGGGTTGCGCTTGGAGTGCTCGTGGTTGACGCGGGCGATCTCGGCGAAGTCCTCGTTCTTAGCGCCATACCTGTTTTTCGCATGTTAGCATGGTATTCCTTATTTCTATGGGTTGATGTCGTCTCGAGAGGCTGCATACTTCTCCTTGTATTCCACACCCGCGTTTCCAAACATCTGTGCGGCACCAGGCGCGTTCGTCACACCCCGCGTCTCGGCCATCATCGTTCCAAATAGTCCTGTTGGGTTCTCGCGATCGTTGTACATGGATTGCAAGCTACCAGGGTTCATCTTCTCGAAGCCAACGACCAACACACAGTCTGCAGCACCGTGGGAAACCAGGGTACGGGCCATGGCGAGGCCAGTCGAACCAGTCGAACAATTGTTGTTGACATTGTATATAGGGATGCTGGTCTGACCGAACTGGTAGAAGACGCGCTGGCCACATGTGCTGTCGCCATACACGTAGCACGCAACACCCTGGTCAACTTCGTCGTAGTTGATCTTAGCGTCGAGCATGGCTTTGATGCCGGCCTCATAGCCTAGCTCATGGTAGTCGACCTTGCCGCGTGGCTTGATAAACTTGGTCATGCCAACGCCTAGAACATAGGCGGGAGTTCCTTGCTTTTTTCCCATGTTGTGTGAGTTATGAGTTGTATTATGGTTGGGGATATGAAGATAAGTGAGTTTGGAATATGTTCGACTTAAGAAGGAAGGGTTTATAAATACCTATGAATTAGCGGCCCCGGATGTGGGGAGCTGAACATGAATTGCGGGGAGAGGCCGAGGTCCCGAGGAACCATACGGCACTGCACAATTTTATTCACATAATCTCAATATTAACAATATTGAGCTTTTCAGGTTACAAAGAGTATGCTTGAGGGTTCTGAAAACAGAAGAAAAACATGTGTTTGATTGAGCTTGGGTCTCACATGAAAAAAAAAGGCCGGGACGTACAAGACAATCACAAGGCTACTACTTCGTGCAATCAACCTCTTCAACACTTCATAATCAAGTTGGTCTGGTAGCACAGTTGGAATCAGACACCATTGATCTTGCATCCAATCGTAGAAGTATATTTAGCTGGATTACCTATGGACGTTGTTCTATGAACCACATTCCAGCTAATCTAACTTCCAACCTTCTCAGGTGAGGCAATGGAGTGTCACATTGCATCCTACGATAATACTATTTCCATACCAAGTAGCCGTTCTGGTAGTCTACTGGAATGGCGTGGGACATATCCGCATATTCAAACAGCTGTTCCCTACTCCCTGCTCAATACAAGGTCGGGAATAAGGAAGCCGACAGACCGAGGAACCATGTTGTTGCTTAATAATAATTTACAGCATCTCCTAATTACACTCACACACACACACACACACACACTGAAGTGGTTTGAATGGAGCCTGGAATCTCAGTTTAGAGTCATTTCATGGGTTTCATATATGTGATAACTGGTGGGTGGTAATGAGCCCAATCCATGCGTGGGGACCTAGTGACGGAGTACTGTCCTCCACATATATTGTAGAGATCACCATGGTCCGTGGTCTAACCCTCTGTGACCAACTTCCCAAGCTCTGCTTTGCATATTCCACACCATAAAGTGTTTCCTGTCTCTGCATGAAATATATAGAGACGAGAACATGATCAGACCGCGACCGACAGATGTGCCACGGCGGTGCCGAGATTGGAGATAGTATGGAATGTGATCAGGGTCCTTAGATCAAACTGCATTTCCAATGTGTATTTCCAATTATGTACTTCTCATATTTTCACCTAATCTGAGGGTAAGCACTAAGAAGATGTTCACTGTTCTCCGTTATTCACGGGTGTTCACGAATACGTCACTCTGTTTGGCCCTAAACCGCTTTGGGCGCCGAAGTTAAGCTCGGCCCACATGCCATTTTACTGCACTTCTCTCTCTTCCTTTCTTCACATAGCATTAGCTCACATTAGCTCACCTTCTGTCTGGTGAGATGCTGTGGGAATATAGTAAGTTGTCCTTTTCAAACCGAGAAACTATCTGTTTGGTCCTATTACCGAAACGAGAAACGTGGGGAAAGCAAATTGATACTAATGGCCGTCTTCGTCTTCCCACAGCTCCCGATCACAGCCAGTAACCCATTGCTATTGACGACACACCTTGGGCAAGAAGATCACGACTGTCCGGAACAGGGGACTCTCCCAGAACATCCCTTGAACCGCCTGATCCCGCACCACACCTTCTAGATCCCATTCGTGAACGCGGGGTTGCATCCTTTCTGTGGCTGTAATTGTTTCGGCCACCAATCTCGCACCTATCCTTATAAGTTGCAAAGACGGATCTAAACGTGACAATATACACGGCGAGAGTCTCTCGGGGTACTTTCCAACGGACTGAAGATAGATCTGGGTTGGTCGGGCCCATTTAATAGACAATTGTGGGACGCTGAACGGTCTACTCGAGCTCTGAGAGACCGCTTTGCGTTCCATCGGGTTCCCCAGCCTGCAAGTATAAGAGTCTGTGCAGAATCCTACGTTCTGTCACGACCGGAGAGATATTACTATAGCTATTCCTCGCCGCCGCCAATGGAGAACGTTCAGGGATGACTCGTGACAACAGTTCTGAACATGCACCATCACCCTCGTCAACTCACCACACAAGAACCGCCATTATGCCAGACCGCAAAGCTTGGAACATGGATGAGGCCACACGCAACAGACTCCTCAAAAAGTACAAAACCCAGGTGGCTTCGGGGGCGTCAACCATTTGCGCGACGCTGGCGGTGGTGAGTGTCTGATTCCCGGGGACATTGCTTGATATCCTCGCCCTTCGTTTTTGTCACTATAATATCAGATGCAAACAATGCTAATTCGTCGGGATTTGCTGGGAAGACTCCCTTAGAGAACGTCAAGACTCGGATGCAGACGTGAGTATTCTACGCGGCGTTGGAGATGGAAACTAGCATGCTGATTGATTTGAAAGACACAATTTCAAGAACATATGGCAGTGTGTTCGTTATCTCTGGCGCACCGAAGGGCCTCGAGGATATGTAGCTGGTAAGTCAGTATCCATGAGTCGGCAGAACAATCGGCTGACTATCGCGTAGGTGCGCTTCCACCTTTGGCGAGTGTCACGGTAGTCCGTGTCGTCAACTTTACCGTGTACAATGCCTTCAAGGAGATAATCGCCGATAATGTCCAGCGCCTAACTGGTTCCAACCCTTTGGATCATTATAAAAAGCCTGGAAGCACCCCCACCGTGACGGGTATCCTTACTTTCACCACTGCAGGCCTCCTCGCTGGCTTGGTGGCATCGCCTATTGCTTGTATGTTCATATTGATCACATGAAAGGGCAGGAGGAGGCAGGCTAACATCAAAACAGGCCCCTTTGAGTTGGCGAAGAATGTCGTCCAAACCTCTTTTCTAGTGTCGAACCGCGCGATGGCTGCCCCGGACGCAGTCCGAGACCAATCTTTGCGTCACAAACCCCGCCTGGGGACCATCCAAGCCATCAAGCAGATTTACATACGACATGGGTTCTGGGGCCTTTACACCGGTTTCCGCTTGCACGCGTTGCGTGACACTGTGGGCTCAGGACTATATTTCAGTGTTTACGAGACTGTGAAGCAGGTAGCAGCCAAGGAGTTGGGTCAGGACAAGAACCCCTTTGGGGCACCTATGATTGCCGGTGCCATTTGCAGCACTGTACCCTGGTTCTGCGTATGTGATCAGACTGATACGCTGTTTTGTGACGAACATACACTAATGTGGCTCATAGACTTATCCCCTCGATACGCGCAAGACTCGTGCGCAGAGTGTTCTGCTAGGAAAATCCAGTGAGATTGGCGAGGCCTCAAAAGCCGTCGCCAAATCCAGCATGTACAAGGGCCTGTCCATCATTCTTATCCGGACCGGCGTCAACAACATGATCCTGCTCAGCATTTTCGAATACATTAGAATGCGCATCGATGAGCTGCCGAAGGAAACTATCTATTGATAGGGCCACGGTGATCACATTAGGAAGAAATGGGGGTCCACCCGTTGAACGTTTTCTTTGCCATTGTGCCTTGAACATCGAGGACTTTTCTCGTATTTATTATCCATATACATACATGGGTGAGCTTGAGGCTCATTTTCAGCACATAGCAGAATATCAGGATGGATTATGAAACTTTGAAGCGATATGTAAGAAAGGAAAAATATTAAGCAAATGAGCGCAATCTTCGCAGCGCTAAGGTAACTCCATAATCAGCAGCATCTTCTCGGCCGTATAGTCTGAATGCCACTTGCAACCTCTTTGCCCAGGTTTTTTGTTCCATGGCTAGCCCAACAATACTCTGATTGCCTTCTGACTTGAACAATTGCACCGTTTTTTCTAAGCTCGGTCTTAGCCTTGCGTCTATAAAGGCATCTAGCAATCCCTCTTCTTCGAGAAAGAAAATTGACAGGAGGGCATAAATGAATCTAGATGAAAGAGTTATACTGAAAGTCTCTGCGACAAACCTCTGTGTACAGTCGAAAATAATAGAATTCGAACTCTGTCTCTGTCCATCCAAGTCCACGCCACGAGCAAGATATTGGAGCCCTCGAATCAATCGCCGGCGCATGTCACTAAGTTGTTGAAAGGGGGTGCCAGGTAGACAGGCCATGCAATCGCAGGTAAAACGCAGAGCTTGATGACGCTCATATCTAGTCCTGCATTCGAAATCTGTATTATAACAGAAATTGATTTCCTCGCCAATGTCTATGTCCCTAGTCGCAAAGCTTGAGATGATCTCTCCACTAACAGTTGGAATCTTCGAGTTGGGTATACAAGAATGGTTGAAGCGCGAGTGAAGGAGGAAGAGACCATGAGCTTCAGGCTCGTTGCGGTCTGAATCCGCGATATTGAACGAGTTTTCAGCGAAAGCTTCATTCATACTTGTAAAACAACCTGTTCCGTTATCGCGGAGGAGTAAAAACTGTGCTCTTTGGCTAGGCGACAATTTCTGAAAGGCCATAGTAACATGGTAGTCCGTGATTTCGGTATGCGACTTCCGGATAATGAATATTGGCTTTTCGCTCAGAATCAATGATCCCCGGACAATGTGTTTTGTGGCGAAAGCACCCCATCCTTTGCCTGGTGAGGGTCTCAGCTCGAATGGTACTTCAACAGGCACTTCGAGGCGGTGGTATGCTGGCAGATAGTAAGTCAGACGCATTCTCAAGCTACTGAGCAGGGTAACGTACGGTGAGCTGCGGACATGGCAGTGTAGATGTGTGGCCGACGTTGTGAGTTGTCATAGCAGGACTGAGCTTGGACCGAGTTGAGGGAGTAGAATAAGTAGAGAATTGTATATAAGACTAAATTAAATGGATGGAATGCGACACGATAGCTCTATTGAATCGGCGGGGAAAGCGGCTATCTATAAGTCAGGGGAGGTCTGGCAGCGCGGATTTGCAGGGATCAAACAGCGATCTCGATAATAATAACAACAATAATGCCCAACAAAGCACAAGGACGAGCCCAAATGATATAGCGTATCAATTAGTAGTGTTGTGGAGCAGCTGAATCGTTTGCACCTAGACGGGGGCACCCCCTTTCTGCCTAATATGTTGGCGTCATGATCTGGCCGGCTCAGATCGCAATGTCTTAAATTTACTATCTTAGGGGTATACAAGGGAGTAGGCCAAGAGTTTGGGAATGCTGTAGCCACATTAACTGCTCTCGGCCTAGGCGGAAATAACACAAAGAGAAATGACTGTACTATCAGCCCCTAGCTCGGTAGGTAGACCATCCTCTACTCCGTACATCCATGTGGAATCGTATTATCATCCCGTTTGCACATGACATTTTATCTGCCTAATCTTACAGATATGATGGACAGATTCCTCATGTTTCGCAATGCTACTCGCCCCCTTTCCCGGTACTTTGTCACGCAAGGTTCTCGGACTCGTCATTTCCATAGGATCACCACAGATTTCATCACCCAAGACACAACAGGCAACTTGGTCTTAAAAAAGGTTCCCGTTGTTATCGGGAACCCCGGGGAAGCCTATGTGTTGATTTACCCAACCGTCGGAGAAGCCTTTCGTGATGCAAGCTCTACGGCGCCGGCGCAAGACCGATGTAAACTATCATTTTTCCACAACACACAACATTTCGGTCTCGGTGAGATAATTCCATATATAGGTGGACCATGTATTAACCAAGGATGTGTTTCATTCTAGCATCACCGAGTTATCCTCGTCTCTATGTCCCAGTCCAATTTCTCCGCCAATCGGAATCTAACACAAGCCCTGCAACCATTTTTCTGACCGGAAAGATGTATGAGATTGTCATAGATGGAACTGAGGATGGTACAGTTTCAACTCCTGCCCAGGTAGCCAGTACTAATACATAGACAGCCGAATTTGCCGAACACTCGAGCGCTTCTGGGCAGAACCTGAAGCCCGCCCTTGATCAACTGGAACATATGTGAACAGAATCCACTGGCACATGGACTTCGATTGCTTCGAGGAGTATTTAGTATAACATATGAATAGAAGGTCTAGGACAATCCAGAAGCCCGGCGGGAATTTTGATTCATTATCCCTGGTTATGCATAGAAAGGCCCTCTGGACAGTCTAGGCTTGATACTGCATTCGAAAATTGTATATCGGTGATGACCCCGATATGTCTATTCCGCTCACTTGTGTTATTAGTCCAATCCCTGCTGGCACTTTTATAGCTAATAACTATTCTTCTAGCTATAACACCGAGAAGAAGGAGTCCATAAGGGATCCAAAAGGAGCACTCAAAAAGGACGGCAGATTATTATCTTTCATATAGCGTCCCCAATATCATGTTGAAGACAACCTGCAAACCCAAAACTAGTCAGACATATGCTGCTAACTAACATAGAAACACGGGTAGGATACTGCCTTCGGCATACTATTATCACAGCCAAGTACGGGCGACGTAGTACTACTGTTTGCGAAGCCCTCGATGTGCGTAGCCTCTACAAATTGAACCCTCTCAAGATAGTAGCCACTGGCTCTCAAAAGCCTATTGGCTGCCAATAGGGCAGTGTGTTTATTCCCATCCGTGAACGCGCGGTTCTTCATGATCCTTAATCTTTCGCATAGTGATTCTTTTTTCATCGTCATATTTACTGGTCTTTGCTATACTAGCTACGCTGCGCCTCAGGAGCCTTTTGGTTGTTTTGCTTTCCCCAGTTTAATATTTTTCAAATGCAGTACTTTTCTGCTCAGATAGCCTGACTGTCACAGAACAAGAAATTTCGATATTCAATGCCTACATTGTGTCGTTTAATCCTATACTCGCACCCCACACCGTATCGATAAAGCTAAATGTTCAAATATAGCCTCTCTCGTGTCCCTGTAGCTTGAAATTTCCTTATGCAAAAGATCGACATGAATAGAGTCAAAATCCCCGGGGCGCCAAGAGGTAGACGTCAGGAACTGACGACGACCATGACTCTATGTGGTTTTTAGACTCTAATTGAAACAATCTCCCCAAGACTCGCTCTAGAACAATTAGATTCACCTAGATTCACTATGGCCTACTATTATCCTTGTTGTGTTTGAGATTTGAAGTTATCGGACGTAGTTATGTGACATATGCTCGCATTTACTATAAAATGTATCCTCAAAGGTCTTGATATTCTGATTCCCACGTGGTTCTTCATTCAAACTCGAAAATAGCTTAACTACTAGGAAGACTCGCTCAATTGACAATTGAATTTAGCAAACTATTACCGCTGGGTTCCCACCATGGTGGTGCATGGTTGGATATAGGGGCACAGGGCAATCAGATGTACGATCCACTCAGTCACAATTTTATGCTAATTACGACGCCGCCAAGACTATGCATAAATAGTCCCACGACGCTCAAGAATGACATTACCGTAACATTGATTGGATACATAATCTTCGCCGAGGTTTACTAGAGGGCAAAGCTCTCGGGAGCGGGACGCAGCCAAGGTAGGCTTTAAGTTCTGATACTGTAGGGCTACGCGTCGTTTTAGTGTCTACTCCGTGAAGAAAACTGGATCTACATCATATAAAGGGTGAAGATGATCCTATTTGACGGTATCGGTTCACTCACTTTGCTCTTTTTCTTCATCCTATAAGAAATTTGACATTATGCAGCTTTCTCAGCTTCTTTGGGCTGCCGGCCTGACTGCCCTCTGTGTTTCTGGTAAGTATCAACTTTTCTCAGGTTCCTCAATATAGCATATGTTAAAGCTTTTTAGCCCACCCGGAGGTTGTCGATCACTCTCAGGTTGCGCACCACCGCACGCATCATGTTGGTACCCGATCTACCGCCTGTGCAGCGAAGCTACAGACCCGACGCGAAGCCACTCTTAGGAGACGCCAAGCGCACTTTGCGAAGCGTCAAGTCGCTCGTGGTCTGTCTAGCAGCCACTCCCTAAAAGCGCGTAATGTGTTTGATACCATCCAAAACACCACTTGCGTCCTCGCTCCTGAGACCGTCTGGGGTCCTTATGGCATTGACGGCGAGCTTCACCGTCACGACGTTCGTGAAGGTCAAGCTGGAGTAGATCTATACCTCGATATTGGTATTATTGACGTCGAGACTTGCGAACCTCTCCCCGATGCTTGGTTGTCTATCTGGGTATGTACGGGATAAAACGGCACGCTAGCATCTATAAAAACCGAGGGCTAATTGATTTCTCTGGTAGGCTTGCAATGCCACCGGAAACTATGCTGGATTCACGGGTATCGATCCAGATACAGCCTCTACCCTGGACGGCTGGACCACCCGCACTGACGGCACCACGGATGACAAGACATTCCTCCGTGGTATCTCCCGGACCGATTCAGCTGGCATGACTGAGTTCCTGACGATCTTCCCCGGCTACTACATCTCCCGAACTACCCATATTCACGTCACCGTCCAGACCAACGTGACGGGTAAGGATACCAGCTACAGTGCTGCTGGCGTGCAGCACCTGGGACAGCTCTTCTTCGACGAGGACCTCATCAACTCGGTCTACCAGCTCACCCCCTACAAGGCTCACCTTTCGACTTTGAACCGTACCACCAACTCCGAGGATACGCTTTACTCCAGTGCCAATGGAGACGGCTACTCCGCCGTAGTCGATGTCTCCAAGCTGGGCGATTCTCTCGCCGATGGTCTTGTGGGATACATCACTATCGGTGTCAACCGCTCTGCTACTCCTGCTGAGACTACTGGTGGCAGTGTCAATGTTGTTGGCGCTCTGCCTACTGTGACTCCGACCCCTGGTGCTCAGGATGCTGCTTTCGCCCTTGATGCCTCTGAGGGCTACTTTGAGAAGAAGCGCTAGGCTGCCTACATGTTAATTGTAGATTTCGTCTTCTTTTTGTGACCTCTTGGCTCTTGTGATTGGGTATATATATACAGCGCTATTGTTACAAGATGACGGTTGGTAAATATGGAGCCATATTTAACGATTTTGTAAGATAGAGAACTGCCACTGAGAATAGTGGGCTTGGTTTTGGGCTTCTTTGCTCTAGATCTCCAGGCTTCACCTATTCCAAGCTATGTCGCTCAGAAATGTATTTTCGAGGATCAAAAGGCTTCTCACACTGTTTTATAGCCCCTGCCAATTCAGAACAGTCAGCTCTCCCACAATTCTTCGATTTTAATGAGGTGTAACTGTTCATTATATAGGAGAGGGCTCAGCTGATGCCTCAGGCCATCAAACGTCATTCCGTTGCCCGGTGGGGTTGAACTTCCCGTCAAAACAAACGGAGTCTTCCAAACCCCGCCTCGAGCGACAATGGCGTCGTGAGTACTCCCAGCAGTATGCGAGAAGTTGAGAGAAGAGAGGAACCCCACTGACTTGTCCTTCTGTTTCATTCCTTTAGTAATATCCTTCAAATCCCGTTCCGGCGCTCCCATACTGTCTCGCTTTCCGAAGCAATCACCCAGTACATCTCTTCCAAATATGACCAGCGCCCGGATATGTTTGCTGAAGATCTGATGATCATTGATCGTCTACGATCTGAGGCTGTAAATGTCCAGGAACCACATTTTAGTGGTGTCAGCCGCTTGGTCACATATGCGGCTCAGCTGAAATGGCTGAGTGGAAAGTTCCCAATTGATGTGCGCCGTTATTTCTGGGTCCTGGTTCCTTTATTTGGCATTGGAAGCTGATGGTCGATGTGCTATATAGGTCGGAGTGGAATTTTCGTGGTATCCCGCTTTTGGGTTTAATGCTTCGCGGCCAGGTGAGTTGGTTTCTTGGGGGTCACATCCTCCGCATGTGTCCGGTTTGGTGAATATGAGACTAATAAGAATCCACCTGGATTTTAGTCTCACAAAATAACCTGCGCTTCGAACTAGCGAATGTCTTATTCAATCTCGCCGCGTTATACTCTCAGCTTGCATATGCCACCAACCGGACTACCGCAGATGGACTCAAGCAGGCGTGTAACTACCTCTGCTCGGCTGCTGGAGTCTTGAGCCATCTTCGAACCGATATCATCCCAGAACTTCGAACGTCGCCGCCCGAGGACATGGACGAAATGACACTGCAGAGTTTGGAACTTCTTTTGCTCGGACAGGGGCAGGAGTGCTTCTGGCAGAAAGCTGTCAAGGATGGACTGAAAGATGTATCTATTGCCAAATTGGCAGCAAAGGTGTCCGACTTCTACGGCGACGCAGGTGACTTGGCTGTTAAGTCTAATGCAATCAGCACGGATTGGATCCACCACATGACTGCAAAGCATCACCACTTTGCAGCTGCAGCTCAGTTCCGACAGGCTCTTGACTGCTTGGAGAAACGCAAGTATGGAGAAGAGGTTGCTCGGCTGCGTGATTGCTTAGTCTGTGTTGGTGAAGGGCTGAAAGAGCAGCGGTGGATCAATCGGACTGTCCTGGGTGACTTGACTGGATTGAAGAGCCGTGTCGCGGAAGACCTCAAGCGTGCCGAGAAGGACAATGATATGATCTATATCAACCCTGTGCCTCCCAAGTCTGAGCTCAAGTCTATCGAGCGTGCCAGCATGGTTCTTGCCAAAGCACCTTCGCAGGTTACAGACGCGATTTCTATGCTTGGTGATAATGGACCGTTGGGCCAGCCGCTTTTCTCGAAGTTGGTCCCATATGCAGTCCACATTGCCGCTAGTATTTACACGGATCGTCGGGACCGGTTGGTCAATGATACCCTCATCGGAGAGCTGGAGTCCATGACTGACAAGTTGCGAGAGTATGTATACCAAGGCAATTCCAAAATTCTCAAGGGGGATTATACTAACATCAGGTTCAAGCTTGCTCTCTTCCCTCAATTTACCAGGGTCGTTGCAAGCGCTCGAAAAACCATTAGGTCTCCCCCAACGCTTGTGTCACATGCAGAGGAGATGCGCCAACAAGATGGCCTGAATCGCCTGCATCGTTCTATCGAAGATACCGCCAGAGTCAAAGGCAATGATTTATCTGTGTATAATGAAGGCGTTGAACTTCTCTCAGCTGAGAAGGCCGAGGACCTTGCAGCTCGCCATAAATATGGTACCGACCGCTGGACCCGCGCGACCTCAGAATCCGCTGCGCCTAAGCTCTACAAGAGTTTGACCGAGATCGAGGGCTATTTCACATCCGCCCAGGGCAGTGATGACCTCGTCCAGCGCAAGCTGCGAGATTCACGGTCTGTCTTCATTGTTCTCACTGGCACGAACCGGGACTTGGAATCCTTTGTGCCCAGCAGCCGGAGGGTTGTGATTCCACCAGAGGTGGAGCGCGAGGCTAACCGGTTGCGCGGTTGTTTGAGCGAGGTCACCCGAATGGAGAATCGGCGGAGGCGGCGAATTCAAGCATTGAAGGATAAAGCTCGTGCTGATGATATTCGTAGGTGTTTTGTCTTTCCTTGGTCTTGAAATCTACTAATGTATTGCATTTAGACCCGGCACTTTTGACACAGACAGCTCGACTGGAGCGGGAATTCCCCATGCAGCCTATCCAGGCAAGCCAGTTCGAGGATTTGTTTGAAGACCAGCTGAAGCTATATGATTCGGATCGTGAGATGCTCGCCCAGGAGCGGAGAGAGCAAGATCATCTTTCGGACCAGGTCCGAGAAGCTAACCGGGCATTTACTGGGTCTCATAAGGGTGACGCATCAACAAAGGAACGAGAAGAGGCGCTTCAGGATCTTGAAAATGGATACTTGAAGTATAAGGAGATCATTTCCAACCTCGACGTCGGGCGAAAGTTTTACAATGATCTTGCAAAAATTGTAGCTCGATTCCGAGACGACGCAAAGGCTTTTGTCCACCAGCGTCGGATGGAAGCAAGCCAGCTGGAAGTGTATGTGTTATCACCCATCACTAGACTAACGGATTATCGCTGACATGCATTTTCGTGGATCTAGAGATATCTCCAATGCAACAGCGATGGCCTCACTGCACATTTCTCAGCCACACCTGCGCCAACAACCCCAGGAATCGGGTCGAATCCATCACCCTCCTTCTGCCTACTCGGCTACCCAGCCCGCCCAGGCGCCATCACAGCCACCTCCACCCGTTCATAACGTACGGCCAGCTGAAACATCCCCCCCTCTCACGGCACCCCAACCAGTGCGCGCACCCGTAGCCCCGCCCCCAGTTTCTACGCCGAGTATGCCAGGGGGTATGCCGGGTATGTGGGCCCCCGAAATGGGAATTCGATTCGGATCTGCCGCTGCCCCTCCGAATGGTACACCCAGCACAGGAGCTGGACCAGCCCCGAGCCAGCCCACTCGTGCCCCTCAGCCGGGAACCTGGGACCCCAGCAAAGGATTGCGCTTCTCTTGATTAGGTTGTGATAAAAAACCGTTTAAATCTCCTTTTGTAGATTCCATCTTCGCACATAGCTCTGGCGTTTTGTTAGATATTTATTTTATTTTGGTCATGATTTACAGCGCGAGCAATGAGACGTGAGCATAGCATTGACTGCGTGTATAATTTCTGCAAATTGCAGACGACCCATTGGAATGGATTATGCATGTGATTGGTGTTGATCGAATCTCGGCTCAATTATACATTATCATTATCATATCCAAATAATATATCGTAGTATGGTACATATAATCGTATGAACTAAGACATGGCAAGTCCGCAACAGTAATAGTCGAACAGAGAACAAAAAAAATTGAATCGTCATGGTACATTGCACAACATGGCCATGATGGATGAAATGGACCAAGCAAAAATTGCAGCCCAATATCAATGCGTGGTCAATGCGTGGCAAGGCGAATTATCAGCCTAATTCGCCTCACTGGTGCACCCACAGGAACAAGAAGCCACATTGGCATTTAGCGAGCCCCATCAGCCTTCACAGAGATACCGACAGCATCAATGGCATTCCGGGATTTGCCGTTGGGCAATGCACTGCCATTCAACGAGGCATGGCCATTAATCCCCCCAACAGCCTTGAGTTCATCTTGCTCAATTTCAGACTCATCCGACTCGGAGCGATCGTCCTTTTTCTCGCCGGTCGCGAGGAACTTGAAAGCGCTGCGCAACAGACAATACAGCCAAAAGAGATTGAGAGCCTGTAGTAAAGCTAGAAGTGCGAACGTGATGATGTTTGAGATCCAGCACTTATACTGTTGAGTCTCCCAGTTGAGCTCGTAGGGCCCGACGGTTTGGAACTCGGTTAGAAGGGAGTAAAGGATCCGAAGATTCAGTACGTGGCGGAGATATACCCACGCCCCGATCGAGGTTGCGTAGAAGGGGATCATTATGTCCGGGGCTATGTAATGGAGAGATTTTGAAACCTGGGGAAATTGTCAATAGGAGCCTTGGATACTGTGGGTTGTGTCGAAAACCAGAAGAATTGGTTTAGGCAGGATATGCGACTTACGGCAAGGAAGAAATCACTAATATCATGCGTGATATAAACAGCAATGCCCATATAGGTAAAGTGAAAGCGATAGCTGAGCGCAATAAGCGCCAATGTCACAATATGATGCGCAACAAGCTCCATGAAATCCTTCCGCCGCTTCTCCATTCCTAGCAGCATAACGATAGCCTGCTGCGCCCAATAAGCCGCCTCGAACAAGTAGTAGAACTTGAATTCAGCCGCATGGGTCCTGTGCGGGAAGAGTTCGTACATGCCACGCGTGTTGAAGTACCAAACGGGAGTCTGGCGCATGACATACAACCCCGCGGGACCGAGGAATCCAAAGTAGATCGCCGTGTACATCTGCTCCATGAAGCGGGCCTGCTTTGCCCGCGACTTGATGCGCGAGACTGCTAGCGGGCGGATAATTTCTTGCATGATGAATTCGCGCGTGAAGGATAGCACAATCACGTAGAATGACACGAACGCTATGTCCCACAGGCCCTT